CGGCCGAGATTTGAGGACTAGGTATTACAGACGGGATGCTCCTTTCTTACTTGGAATGCCTATCAAATGTTTACGAAATATGCAACAAAATAAACAATATTATTTCAAAGAATAATATTCAATATTCACGGTTTTTACTCTATACCATTTAGGAAACAATTTGATTTCAGCCCAGTCTGAAAGCGGATAATATCTTATAATATATATTACACGTGCACAATAGCATTAAAATGATACCGTAAAATATTTACAGAATAATATGGAATAGAATATTCTTAGAATACATTTGATATTCAATTTTTTTCCTTTCTATACATGAATAGGAAACCATTTGGTTTCAGGAAGTATAACAAAAGGCTATTGTTCATTCAATGTATACGACACCTGTATCATAATAATTAAATTATACTTTTCATTATTTACAGAAGAAGAATATGGAGGAGGATAAATCCGCTTATATTTTCTAACTAGGATTTAGGTGATCAAAGAAAGTGTCGATCATATAAAATGTCCCCCAGTCAACATGACTACAAATAGGAGTAAAAATGGATGTTAAAATCTGAAAGGAGAGAAAAACACCAAGGCCATTTGTTAAAATATCTTGGAACTTAAAATGAGCATTAATTGCGAACCGCATGGTGTCAAGCGTGGATACGTACGTTATACACTACGCATAACTGCGTAAGGATGCAGACCAACCAAGTACCAAGTTAAGTACCAACCAAGTACCAAGAACCAACCAAGTACCAAGTAAACACACACTTAAGACCAGTAAATCGGTCCGTAATTGCCTACGCCGGCCAAATCACGAGTTGCATGCCCTCAAATTCTTCGGTATTTTAGCATATTGTGGCCATGAACTTGAGGGTTTGCACAAAATATGTGTGGAAGCCGTGCAGAGGACTGCGAGCTCGTATTGCTGCAAAATGTGGATGATGATTAGGCCCTAAAACGGCTCTATTTTGAACTGGAGCGCAGACGTCCATTTTCAAAATGGCGATGGGCTTCAGGACTGCTTTTAGGGGTGATCATCTTTGGATGGAATTTTCTCCCAAAAGTCATTGGCTACCTCCCAGAAAATTGACAGAAAATGAAAGATGATGTAATAAGCTTTAATTTGATGTAAGTCTTGAACACCTCAGAGAGTTGTGAGCATTTTTTCCTGAATTTTTTTAAATGGGGCATTTATCATTGGGGTTTTATCAGAAACAGCGCCACCAAGGGTCAATATGGCGTTCGATTTGCAAAGGTAAGAATGTGTGGATTCTTTAATAGGTCATTGCTTTGGTAGAGGACACAAGTCAGCGCCCTTCATGATATCCGTCATTAACGTTTTTATTATATGAAATCGGCCACTGTTTGCTATTGCCTATAGAACTATTGATTCCCTATAGGTACATTCAAATTCAGAACTACGCAAAGCCAGAAGTGAGGGATATTTAGTTCAAAATGCGCTGATCTACGGAGTTATATACTTGGTTGCAATGGTATTAATTTGGAGCCGGATCGGGAATTTCCCGTGTTTTTTTTTCCTTTTCAAAAAGCTTTGTGGGATTTTCGCCCATCCCGTGATCAGTAATTCATGCCTTTTTCAATTTAAACAAATTGTACAATGTATATCTGCTTTTCTTTAATGTTTCGGAGAGACGTGTACTTGTTTTGTAAATATTTATGTTCATCGTATGTTTCACCAATGTACTTTTCCTGATGATTTTAACTTTACTTAACATTATTGAATAATTCAGTACAAAACCAAGGCCCAAATGAAAACCAGTTGTTAACTGTTTGGGCATACCCTGAGTAAAGAAATAAAACAAGTAAATACATAAATACAATTTTCAAAAAATCCTTATTATCAGGTTATTAAACAAGCTCTAGTGTTCTTTACTTAACCAGCTGAATAATTCTCAATTTTATATCGCTGGTAAATTAATCAAAATCACTGTTATTGTTGACAATTCTTTAAAAAAAACTTACAACATTATACATTTGAAGGAAATTCCAATCAAGTTCATGCTCAGTACCAAATTCATTCAGATATGCATGTTTCATAACGCGTGGAATGCACTTTTCTTATCATAACAATCTATTAGATGCAGCTGGATGTACTTTCAGTTATTTTATGTGAATACAGATCCCTACAATACAATAACACTATCATAATAATTATAATAATAATATCACAATGCAAGGCTAGTCATCGCTTGCGGACGTGTTTACTGCCTTAAATGCACATTTTAAACAAAGGTACTATTTTACAAATATATAATATATATAAAAATCCGAAATCCATCCTGTCCATGCATGTAGCGCATTCAATAATCACATTGAGCGTATATGTTTATAAAAATGTGTTTTCTTTAATCTTTGTTATGGAAACTCAAATAAACATATGCTACTGAGATACAAAAGTATACGTTGATATAAAAACAAACCAAATTTGTAACAAAACAGAAACGAGGGTGTTCGCTTTAGCTTAATGATAAAATCGCTTAGTACAATTATTAAAATAAATTACTAAATACAGCCATCAAATATATTGTTCTTTTTATAATTTGAATAGAACTAATTTATCGCTAATGCTGATATTTACTTCTCGTAGCTTAGGGATGAGTAAGGGCAATTGAAACGGATAAAGCAGCCCTTTTCCTCCTACATGGTGGTGCACAAAAAACAGGAAACCCACTTTTGAACTACTTGTTAAGCATATTTCACAAAATCAATTTAATGGTATTAAAATATTGATCTTTAAACAAAAGTAACGAAAAAATGATTGCAAATGCATATTTTGTCTCTGAGATATGGTAGTTTAAAAAAACATCATGTGCCAAACCTGTTTGTCCACGGACGGCTTTATTCCATCCGCTTGACTGAGCTCCGGTGTCATGCCAAAAACTGTCCGGTGCCAAATAGTGTCTGCTGAGCAAGCACACGCAGGACAAGTCGTGTCCGGTGCTAAATATATGTATGGTGTCCGAGCGCTGTCATGCATTATAGAACGGATTTCAGTCCGTTCTTACGATACTGTTCGTCAATTTTCTTGCCAAATACTGCACCAAACGATGCTCAAACGTGAGAGAAACCGTCATTTAGCAGTCAGACGAATAATTCGCACAGGCTATACTCTACACACGTACACGCGTGACCTGACACGCAAACACAAAGCTTTTAGCCGAATTTGAGTTTCAGTGTCGGAAATATCAATTCAGAACAAATTCTACAATCAGTTTAATAATAAAAGATATAAAAGTTACAGTTAAGAAACACAATTTTAAAAGGAAACTAAGATGAAAAACGATTTCATTCGTGACGTCTTGGAAGCTGACCGCAAGCACGCCATATGATGCACGCTAAAATTATATAAGCGGACACTATTTGGCACCGGACAGTTTTTGCCATGACACCGGAGCTTGCTTTGAAGATAAACAAATCTACTCTAGACTTACACGTGGACAACAGTGATTTTTGGTGACTTGTATTCAAATTAGCAAAATAACACTATTCTTGCGATTTTTTTTAAAGATTATTTTTTCACCACGTAAGGTTAAAGAGTTATACTTTACTACATTATAAACACAAAAAAAACAGTCCAAATAAGTTCAGTAAGCTAAGCAGGTTAAAATTCCTGTCCAAAGTGGGTTTCCTTCTTTTTGCACCGCCCTGTATACCTCCTTGTTTGCGTATTCTCATAGACCGGTTTCACCTATCTTGATTGTTGCTAAAATTGGCAATTTTATCTTGATTGCCAAACATTAGCAATTATATAAATATGTATATATTTAGAACCCCTTGGGCCCTCGATGACATTCCAGATAAGACAGATCACTATGAACATGCTAATTTTAATGGTGCATCGATTACTCATTGCTTGCTTAATCTCGTGCACTATCTGTGTCTGGGAGTTGAAGCAATCGTCATAATGTGGAAATAGTGGGTCTGGAGATAAGAGCTGTTGGCACAAGATTTCGTGGCCTATTTGTGAATGAATTCTCAATTAAACAACATGTTTTGTTCGGTATTTAGTGACTGTAATTGTTTTTACTTAATGGCGGTGTTCTACTAGTCTGAGTATCACCCGTTATTCCCGGAGCAAGACTCCTGTATGACGTCTGATATGTCTAGACATATACATATATGCAAGCCGCGCGCCAGCCAATCGACTTTACTAAAGTCGACTTTACTAAATCGTGACGTCATTTCATTCCTAAATCAAGACTAAATGGTTTGATTGGTCAATTCGAATGCAGTGTTTTGTAATGCAACAACAACCGGGCACATTATCACGTTACATGATACAGTGTGCGTGATGCAGGTTTTTTTAATCCATTGTCTATGACGCGCAAAGGGTGAATGACCGAAGACCCGATATAGAAAGCGCCCGCTCATTGGTCAAAATCTAGGAGGTCAAAAGGCGGGGTCTTGCCTTATTAATCATCGAATCTGCTCACATATCATAGACCCACGTCACGATTTAGTAAAGTCGACTCCAATTGGCTGGCGCGCGGCTTGCATATATGTATATGTCTAGACATATCAGACGTTATACAGGAGTCTTGCTCCGGGAATAACGGGTGATACTCAGACTAGTAGAAAACCGCCATTAAGTAAAAACAATTATTACAGTTACATAGACAAGTGTTCTACAGGGCACAACACCGTCTCATAGATTTTATATTTGTAAATTAATATTAAAAATTCCAAGATCAAGATACATTTTGTGCTAAAGTATTATCCTCCGTCAACATGAAATGAACAATGCAGGACTTGTTTTTGATTTTTTTTGTGGCTACTTCGTTTACTCAACCTGAACCAAGCTACTAAAATATATGACAGATGCAAGACACCAAAACAACTGTATCTCGTCTTATTTAGCATAGTTGTTGACGTTACTGATTTTTTTCACAGATGCCGAGGGGTCATTGACTTCTTGGACACCATGTGACGAAATACACGTTAAGACAAAGTCATGAGGTTCACGTTAAACAAAAATCAATACTTACCAGCTGGATGGGGTTATTGATGTCATCATCGAGGTCGCCATTGGCCACGTACCTGTCGGTGGTCACGTGGTTCATGTACCCACCTGGCGCCTTTTTTGCTTCTCGCTGGTTCCCAGGGGTGACACCGTTTGTAACAGGCATGGGTCGGTGCTGGTTGATGGCTACCAGGGAACTCATCAAGGCTCCAGCTCTTGGCTGTGCCTGGTTGCGGTTTTATACCTGTAAGATTTTGAAAAAAAAAAAAAAAAAAAAAGGGAATTTGAAATTTTAGAATAATACAGAACATTTATATAGCGCTCTAACTGTCATAGAAAGTTCCACAGCGCTTTACACAAAAATTGACGAAAAACCAAAAACCAACAAAACAAAACCAGAACAAGAAATCAACCATATGCAAAATACATGAGTAAGCAATAACATATCAATTAAACAGATTAATGAAACAGGTTTTCAGGGATTTTTTAATGTTGCTATGAGCTAGAGTGGCGGATGATGTAGGGTATATTGTTCAAGAGTTTTGGGGAAGCACCGTGGAAGCTTTTCTCTCCAGAGGAAGTGCAAGTTTTCGGTACATGAAGTAATCTGGTGTTAGTAGATGATCGGAGGCTTCTGGTCGGCTTGTAAAGCTGAATGAGTTCGGTTAAGTATGAAGGTGCAGAGTCAGTGTTAGGACATTGGTAAACGAGGGTCAGAAGTTTGAACTTGATTCGGTTGGTGACTGTCAACCAGTGAAGATCGTGGAGGATGGGAGTGACGTTGTCATATTTTCCAGCCTGATAAAACAGTTTAGCAGCACGATTTTGGATCCGTTGAAGGCGTTTGCAGTCAGCAGATGTTATACCGAACAGGAGTGAGTTTGCATGGTCCAGTCGAGATGTTACGAGCGCATTTCTTGTGCTGCACATGGCTACCCGAAAATAAAAACGACAAACTTCAATTTGGAGATTGACGAAGCCACTAAAGTCCTTGGAGTTAATGTAACACATGCCTGTCATCCAAAAATACACGTTTTATGGCCGATTTGTCTTTGCGCAGACGTACTAAAATTATACTCTGAATCATCGAAAGGACGGTTCGTGACTTTTAAACGAATCATTAATTTTCTGCATAAGCAACAAAATATGCTCATTTTCGAAACAAAATAATGCATTTTGTGGCTTTTTGGTCTTTGCAGGGCATAATAAAAGATGGCTGTATGCTATTGAAACAATGGTTCGTGGAAACACTGTAAGGACTCTCCCGCATTAAAGTGTGACAGGAAATAGTGACGTGATTACAATCAGTTTTGTCCCAAAAAATAGAAAAAGTACTCTAAGGATATTAGTATAAAATAGGTCCTGGTAAGAAGAGATTGACAGAGCCTCTATAGTCCTTGGAGTTAATGTATCACATGCCTATCATCTAAAACAATAGACGTTTTATGGCTATTTTGTCTCTGCGCAGACGTAATAAAATTATGTTCTGAATTATCGAAAGAATGTTTCGTAGCCAGACTGTACGGATCATTAATTTTCTGCACAAGCAACATAATATGCTTATTCCCCCCCCCCAAAAAAAAAATAATGCATTTTGTGGCTTTTTGGCCTGTGCAGAGCATAATTAAAGTTTGCTCTATTATTTGTTGGTCCCATTTTAATAGTTTATAAAATTAGGCAGCTGCTGAACGGCGGAGGGGATTGCAACCGCCCCCTCTAAATCTGTTTGAAGGAGGCTTGTAGGAAATGAGAGGGTGAAATTATTGTCCATTTGTTTTTGATGAAAACAGTTGTTCTTCCTCGTTTCTACTCATGAATATTAATTTGTGATGACAACTTTTTTAAAGCCAGCCATCCAGTCAAAGTATGAGAAGCAGAAAAAAGCTGCCTAATATGGGGGACATGATCTATTTTTTTTGTTCACACTATGACTACTCAAAAACAGAAACAGTGTTGATAGACTTCAATTTGGAATTTGACGGAGCCTCTGAGTCCCTGGAGTTTATGTAACATATGCTTATCATCTGAAATTACATGTTTTTATTATGGCTTTCTTGTTTTTGCAGGGCGTAATACAAAGTTTGCTCTGAGCCAACGAAAGAATGGTTCGTGGCTACATTGTACGAACTGTTGGAAACTTCTCCGTTTAGGTATGAGAGCAAAACTGGTGAGGTACTATTGCAATCAGTTATGGCGAAAAAAGAGAGAAGTGTATGAAATAAAATAATTCTTATTTCGCCTTGGGGTTGTGGTGCGTCTGCCCTTGGGCAAAGCACTTAATTTGTGACTCATTGGACTACAAATGGACACATGTGAGGGCAGAGATTGTTATTGATTTTAGCTGCCTTGCGCCGAAGTGGCTGCATCGAGAAGTATACTCCCGAGGGACAAGGGCGGATCCAAAACACAATTTTAAGGGGGGGGGGGGGGGAATTGGTCCCCCAAAAAGTGGGATTCGCGGCCCCGATTTATTTTGGGATTCTAGACGCTCTGTGGTGCGATCTGAGGCAGTTGCTGACCACTTTAATCAAATGTTTTTTGAGGAAAAGATGGTGGTGTATGCAGTACCTGCCTTTATTGCGACTTCACACCAAAAAAAAGGGGGTTCTTTTTTTGGGGGGGGGGCATGGCCCCCATTGCCCCCCCCCCCAGATCCGCCCTTGCCAAGGGAGCTGATATTGTATTTCGAATGTCTCATTTGCCGAATGATCAACGGTAATAATAATGTAAAGCGCTTTGATCTTAAAGGGAAAGTACAACATTTGCAAACATCAAAAAATAAAACTACCAAATAATTTTGAAATACCTTGCTGGACTGTCAGTGAATGACAGTGTAAAGCATCCTGTAAAATCATGGCACCTGGTATACTGTCATTTTCAAGAAAAGTGGTGTTTTTGTATCAATTTCCAACGCTGATCGGCCGATCAGCGTTGGAAACAACTGGCTTTTTTTCAAATACTGGCCCCAATTGACCATCGCACTTGTTTGCAATCGATTACAAACCTATGAACGGGTACGAGCCAGCTATACTGGTTCCCTGACCTTACAATTCCCCAATGTATGTAAACTGTTCTGTTTCTTCTTATATGGAAACAGACTACAGGAAAATGATCGTTTTTCTTGGTTTTTATAACATTTTCGAACCCAAAACCTAAAAAAAGTCAGTGTAACTATATTTGCTATATATTTCCAACTCCCCAATTCCGTCCATTTCTGAAAATTACAGCAAAAGCAAATGATGTATATTCCCTTTAATTAAAAGCGCTATATAAGTACCCATTATTATTTTTCGTTAAAACTACTTTAAAAGTCACCAGATTGATTAGTCTCCAATCTTAAATATCAATGTTTGTCGTCTGTGAAGTATAGGCCAATTTTTTTTCTTTCATGGATTGCGGTAAAATGTTAAACCATCCATAAACGCGCATATTGGAGATAGAATTTGATATGTCCTCTCAAAACGAAGCTTGGAGCCATAGGCGTCGCCAAGATTTTTCTAGATGGGGTCAAAGCACATTTTTCATACAAAAAAAATCCCGGTACTTTTTTAGCATATTCCCAATTGATCATTTTTTTCGAGGGCGGGCAGGGGGACATGTACCCAACCCCACCCATGAAATTAACAGCAATATCAATGTTTTTCTTTCTTGTCCCCCCCCCCCCCCCCCCTCGCGAAGGCAAAGCAAATTAACCCCCAAATGCCTTTTACCCTCTCAAGCATATTCCCAATTGATCATTTTGTTTTCGGGTGGGCAGGGGGACATTTGCTTATCCCACCCCCATTGACACCCATACAGACGCCTATTTTGTTACATGTGTATTAAATTAATAGCAAATATAACTTCACACCTCTTTTTCTTTCTTTTTTTCGTCTCCCCCTTTTGGCTTGGGGCCCTTGCCCCCCCCCCCCCTCGCTACGCCCATGTCGAATACAACAACAATGGAAACTGAAAGCCCTATTGCTAAATTTAAATGAGATTAGTGCGGTAGTTTCAAAAGGGGGTACGATGCGCATACCGCGCGGTGTGAGATAAGTGTGGACATTTTAAACTAGGCAGGAGGCACATGTCGCACAAAGTTTAGAATACTGAAAGAAAAGAATTGGGAAAAAATCTCTTTCATGCAGGCAATGATGAAGTCGCACAAAAAATGAAGGATTATGGGGTATATTGCAAAAGTGGCATTTTAGTGTTTGAATCCACATGTACATGGTACTATATAAACACATGCACTGGGTTCCAAACTACATGTAGTGATGACAGTTTGCCAATTTAGTCTCCCAATAAAACAAATGAATCCTGTAATCCATCATGTTTTTGTACGAGTTCATCGACGTCCTCAGACATTCCCTTCATGAAAGAGATTTCTTCTTGCTCCTTTTCTTTAAGAATTTTAAACATTGCGTGGTAAATAAATGTAGGGCTTATGGCCTCGTACCCCTTTTGACACTCCCGTACTAATCTCATTCAAAGTGAGCAACTGCATGGGCTTGCTTTCAATTTCCATTGTTGTTGCATTCGATTTCAGTGTCCATTGTTGTTGCATTGTTATTGCATTCCATTCTAAAGTCTTTATAACGAATGACAAAGGTTACCGTACAGAGGAGCCAGTGGATTGTTTTATTTATCACGCCCCTTCGTTTCAGCGAGGAATGTGATTGGGCAGGACGACCGTCATGACGAGCTGTCATGACCAACCGTCATGACTAACCGTCCAAAACGAAAGAACGCTAGTCTATCTCTTGTTATCTCGATTTTTTTCAAAACAACACATCCGGCGGCCATTCTACCGTCTGGAAAATAGGCAATTATGGTCGGGTTTGTATTGCGATTTAGGCGTCGATCCGTCATCTCGGCTGCAAAAACAAGACGGTGCTTTTTCCCATCTTCTCTATCATCTCCAGGGCGCCACGGGACGGTAAGCAGAGAACAGGATTGTTCTTACCGCGGGACGTTGTGGGTAACTTTAAACGCGCGGAAAATACTCGAGCAGCTCGTGTCAGTGATCCTTGTGTCTGACTTAAGGCATGCGGATGGGTTCTCAAACAGTAGTCTGGGCTACAGGGTAAACATGAGCGAAAGTATTAGGACACACAAACGCAAGCTTGTTGAAAAGCCCAAAACAACGCTCGGATAAGATTGGATGATTATAAAGGAACAAAGCTTATGCCCCCAAAATACAAATTCAAGTTGGTTAAAAAGCCTCAAATGAAGCTTGTAAAGTAGAATTGCTACATGTGTGTA